GGGTCCAGACCTCTTACTTCTCTTGGTCCTACATTTCAAACTCTCCTCTCCTACACCTCCCAGAATCCTCTTTGTCTCCTAGTCCCACCTATCTTGCTTTCCTATTTGCCAACGGTGCTTTATTCATTAGCCAATAAGAGAAACATATTTACAGAATGACATCTCCCATCATGCCTACACATCTGGATAGTGGGTATACACTGATGCCATCATATAATGGGCTCAGTCAATAGCCAAGGACAAATGTTGACAGAGTAACACAAGGGAACCACAGTCTCTTTGGGCAGGAACATGGACACCAGAGCCTCGGTCAGGATGCCAGCTATGTGGAGCAGGCAGGGTCTGCAGGCCTGGGAAGACTGGCCAGCCCTGTGGAGTTTGTGTTGGTGGGACCACTGTGACCCTTCCTCTGGAAGACTCCTTGGTGTTCCGTGTCATCTCACAGAACTGCACTCTCTCATATGGACTCTCCTTGTGCAGAAGGCTTTGGACCCGTTTCTAATGTTCCCTAAGAGTCTGGTCCCCAAATGGAATTTCCAGGTGAAAGTAGACAGTGTTTATCTGTGTAGATTTACCTGTGTAGAGTTTACGTCGTTGCCCAACATTCTAGACCTCACCTGGATTACTCTGGACTCTAAAACCTTAGCCTCAAGCCCAGCTGAGCCGTGTGTAATAGAGAATGGGTAGACTAGAGGAACAATGCAGAAATGTCAAACAGACAAGGGGATGTGTCTGTCCTGTGAACCCACGTCTCACATCCGGTCACCCTAGAGCACCCTCCTGTATGGTGTATGGGGCATTCCCAGCAGGTTGGGTTTGTAAGTTGTTGGGGTTTTGGGAGAGGGTATTTTGTTGTTGTTGGTGGTGGTGGTGGTGGTGGTGGTAGTGGTGGTGGTAATTGTGGGTGATTCCACATTTGAGGTTTAATGAAATGCACTGAATTCAAATTCAGCTCAATGTTTCTTTTTTTCTTTTCATTCATTCTTTCTTTTTTTTTCTTGTTTTTTTTTTGTTTGTTTTTGTTTTGTTTGTTGTTATTTCTTGAGATGGGATCTCTCTGTGTACCTGGCTTGGCTTGTTCATGCAGCACTCCATACCACTCCCTCTGTCCTGGTCTCTCTGGAAAAGAGCTAGCCTCTGAAGGGGACAAGAGGGTTCTGGAGACAGAGCAAGGGCCTAGTGGCCACTGCTGGTCCAGAGAAAGAGAAATCAAAATCTGGAATTTCCTTTATTGTTGCATTTGCTACCTGAAATCTGGATACCGCTGCAGCTCCTGAGTAGAATGGAGTGTGGCAAGTCCTGGTCACAGAGCTACCCACGTTTCCTCCTCCTGGACCCTGTGAGTGTTTGCTGTTCCAGGGACTCTAGACTGTGGTGGGGGCCCAGCCCAGCTCCCCAACCCTCAGGCCTTCACATCTTACACCACACGTATACATCACAGCTTGTAGAATAATCAGAACTCGAAAATGAAAAGAAGTAAAGCAGACATCAAATAGAATTACACAGGGAAGCTCTCCAGGGGCAATCGAGGATAAGTCCAGACTTGTTTCTGAGCTGGTTTGGGGGCCAAGCAGGGGAGATATGCCATGTCATGATGAATCAGGCTCTGCCTTCTGGGTTGAAAGTTCCAGAAACTGCTCCCTAGAAGCAGAAGGCCTTACCACTCTGTCCACTGGGCACATGGTTTCTGTCTCCAGATGCTCACACAGACATGGAGGTTCCATGCAGGAGGTAAAACCAGGACCTGGGTGGTACAAGCACCATCGTGGGTATTTCCTGCATAGTGGAGGTGACCTGGTGACAGATTCCATCACACAGAATCAAATACTCTGAGCCAGGATGGCCTGTGGGCTGGTTGTGGTAGAATGGAGAGTCATCAAGTAAGACTGGGCAGTCTTGAGGTTGTGTGTGGCCACATAGGTCTGCCTCATTTCCCAGCTATTTGATAATTACAGCTCTAAGCCCCAGATTGTATCCCAACAATGAGAAAGAAATTCACAACCTCTGCCTGTTGCCATTCGCTCATTTTCTGTAGCCCAGCTAGCCACATACACTGGGGTTTGCTTAGAGATTGTTTCCAGTAAAAAAAATATTTTATTGAGATACAATTCATATACTATACATTTAACACATTTGAAGTGTCTTCCTATTCCATGGTTTTGGGAAGTAGCTCCGTCACCAGAGATGAAACCCTGTGTCCCCGAAACCATGCCGCCTGAACCCCAACCCCTGGTGGTCACTTTTAACTTGAACTTCAATACAAATTGAATCACCAAGTATGTCTTTTGTGCCTGACATCTCTCACACTGTTTCCGGTTGATGATTCAGAATATTCCATCATGTGAACAGACCACATTGTGTTTATTCTTCATCCATAGATGTAGGCAGAAGTTTCTGTTCCACAAGCCACTCCCAAGTAACTAACACGGAGACTTAATATTAATTGTAAATGCTCGGCCAATAGCTCAGGCTTGTTACTAGCTAACTCTTACTTTTAAATTAACCCATATTTCTTGTCTGTACTTTGCCACATGGCTCATGGCTTCTCAACCTCATTTTCTACACATCCTGTTTTCTCTGCATCTTCTGGCGTCTGTCCTGCTCCGCCCTTCTTCCCCCCATCATTCTCACTTTGGCTCACCTGCCTAACTTTATCTTGTTCAGCTATTGGTCAGTCAGCTTCCTTCTTCAACCAACCACAGTGACAAATCTGCAGTGTACAAAAGGGTTATTCCATAGCACACAGGATCCCACTTGGGCTATTTTGCCTCCTGATGTAAAATCCTGCACAAGTTCTGTGGAGACCTGCTTTCTCCAGCAGACACCCACACGTGGAACTGTGCATGGTAACTCCACTGATCTGAGGAGCTACCAGATGTCCTCTAAGTGACTGGACCGATCTGTGTTCCCCATCAGCAGTGTATGAGAGTTCCAGTCCTCCATCTTCTCACTGATGCTTGTTCCTGTATGACTCTATCTTACTATGTGGTCTGTCCTTCGGAACTAAGGCATTGTGTGTGTGAGAGAGAGAGAGACAGACAGACAGAGAGAGACAGACACAGAGAGACACACAGAGAGAGAGACAGAGAGAGAGAGAGAGGGACAGAGACAGAGAGAGAGAGAGAGGGACAGAGAGGGGGGAGAGAACTATTTGTATACCTTCTTTCATGGTACTATGAATGGGATTTAAAATTTTTTATTTTCAGACTATTTCTTGAAAGGTAAGGAGATGAAATTGACTTTTGCATATTTATCTTATATCCTTCAATGTCACTGAATTAATTTTCAGCTCTAATGTGTTCATCTATTTTAGTGGATTCTTTGGGCTTTTCTGTACACATAGCCATATCACCTGTGAATATACAGTGATTTCTTTCCAAACCGGATTTATTTACTTGTGTGTGTCCTGGCTTGAACCTTCAGAACTCCTTCGCTAGGAGTAACAAGGGCAGACCTAATTACCTGATCTTTAGGGGGGGGGACAGGGTTTCTGTGTAGACCTGGCTGTCCTAGAACTCACTCTGTAGACTAGGCTGATTTTGAACTCAGAGATCGGCCTGTCTCTGCCTCTAGAGTTTGGGGATTAAAGGTGTACACCACCACCATGCCTCTCTGACCTTTTGTTTATTTTTTGAGACAGGATTTATCTGTGTAACAGTCCTGGCTGTCCTAGAACTCACTTTATAGACCAGGCTGGCCTCGAACTCACTGAGATCTGCCTACCTCTGCCTCCCAAGTGCTGGGATTTGATCCTACTTTTTAAATGATGCTATTATTATGAATTATATTGATCAATTTCAGGTGCTAAGTCAATTTTGCTTCCGTAGCAAATCTTTCTCCATCATGGTTTTTAAAAATTATTACATGTCAATTTATTGAGGGGAGGACATTGTGCCATGACCCACGGGTGAAGGTTAACTTGCAGAAATTGGCCCTCTCCTTCCACCATGTGGGTCTTGGCAATCAAATTCTCATCTTCAGTCTTGGTGGCAAACACGTTTACCTGATGAGCCATCTCAGAGGCTCTCCATCATGGCTTCTGAGTCTCCTGTCTGCAGCTGGGTTCCATTCGCTTTAAATTTTATTGTTCGGTGTTTGCTTCTGAGATGCTCTTATGTAGCCTCTTCTGGCCTCAAGATTAATACAGAGTTGAGGATGGCCTTGAACTCCTTCCTAATCCTCCTGCCTCCACCTCACAAGTGTTGGGGTTAGAGGGGCACACCATCATGCTTGGCCCTGTTTATCTTCATGCCTTTGTAGTTGTGCCGAAGTCAACAGAATGAGCTTACAAGTGTTTCCTCATAGAGGATGAAAACTTGATGTTAATACTTGGAACGCTGGAGAACACTGTCTGGACCTGTGATTTCCTTGTGGGCAGAAGTCTGCAGACTGAATGTCCCAGCCACTGTCTCTTGCCTCCAGGCTTGCTCTAGGTCTACCCAGAGGCTCGTTTCTTCCCAAGCCCATTTCTGTTTTTGCTATTCTAGAATTTGTCCGTCCCCCCCCCCCCCCGCAGTTCCTGTTCTAGTTGTATGAAATGTGCCGATTTTGATCATTTCAAGAATGGACGGCACAGGTCCGCCCTCTGTTTGGGTAACCCTGCTCTAATTTCTATTACCTCGTTTCGTGCACTGAGGTTCCTTTTCCTCTCCTTTGCCCAGATATCTAAAAGTAGAATGATGGCTATTCATGCCAAAGCTTTTTTTGTAGGCATCTCACCGATCAAATCAAAAGTGCCCAGAGGTCAGTGGTCCCGGGATTTAAATGCCTTTCCAGTTTCCGGAGTCAACCTGCTCATCAGCCCACATGTAGAAATGTCAAATAAATCTTCAAAAGAGAAGCGGTACGGATTGGGCCTTTTTTTTAGCAAAATTCTATATGTCCCCCCGACCTCTCCCCCACACACATGCCCCAGGTGCGGGGTCTGTGTGACAGCCCGTGTCCCTGACTTCCTCGTGGCCACCACCTATCCGCCAACCGGATGCTCCTTTCCCCCATAGGGCGAGTGCTCCACAAAGTGCCGCAACCTGTTCGTGCTGGAGACGGTGTGTGTGGCCTGGTTCTCCTTCGAGTTCCTGCTGCGCTCCCTGCAGGCGGAGAGCAAGTGCGCCTTCCTGCGGACCCCGCTTGCCATCATCGACATCCTGGCCATCCTGCCCTTCTACGTGTCGCTGCTCGCGGGGCTGGCGGCAGGGCCCACGGGCAGCAAGATGCTGGAGCGCGCGGGGCTGGTGCTGCGGCTGCTGCGGGCGCTGCGCGTGCTCTACGTGATGCGCCTGGCGCGCCACTCGCTGGGACTGCGCTCGCTCGGCCTCACCGTGCGCCGCTGCGCGCGCGAGTTCGGACTGCTGCTGCTCTTCCTCTGCGTGGCCATGGCGCTCTTCGCGCCGCTCGTGCACCTGGCTGAGCGCGAGCTGGGCGCTCGCCGCGACTTCTCCAGCGTCCCCGCCAGCTACTGGTGGGCCGTCATCTCCATGACCACCGTAGGCTATGGAGACATGGTGCCGCGCAGCCTTCCGGGCCAGGTGGTGGCGCTGAGCAGCATCCTCAGCGGCATCCTACTCATGGCCTTCCCTGTCACCTCCATCTTCCACACCTTCTCCCGCTCCTACTCGGAGCTCAAAGAGCAGCAGCAGCGCGCAGCCAGCCCTGAGCCGGTCCTGCAGGAGGACAGCACTCACGACGATAGCATGCATTCGGCCAGCGCCACCGAGGACAGCTCTCAGGACCCTGAGAGCACAGGCGCAGCAGGGAATTCGCCAGGTCGGATGGGACCCTAAGCCCAGTGCTGTGCTGAGAGCTGCTGGGGATTAAAACCTCGGAGGATACCAAGCGCCCACTGATCCAGGAGTCACAAACTAGGTCTTGCAAGTTGTTGCAGCCGGCCTGGCACCCCAAGCAACCCCGAGCTTCGTGTAGCCTGGAGGATATAGCAGCCTGGCCTTTGTCCCCCTTTTATTTCCCTCCAGTTTTAAATTTTCTATGACTAATTAAAAATAATTGGGTCCCAGAAATTCCAAGTCTGAAGCAAATGACAGCCACCCTAGACTAACTTTTACCCTCCCCTGCTCCTAATCTAGGGCTGCCCCAGCGAACAAAGGGTGGCATGTACCTTGTGACCCTTAGTGGCCAATACCCCACGTAGAGGAGGACTTCACCGGGCACCTAACACTGCCCACGTGACCTGACACGTGGGTGGGAAACAGGTTTGAAGGGGCGCATAGCCCCCCAAGTTCTAACTTCTCTTTGCAGGGGTAGAGGAGAAATCTCAGCCAGAGTTGACCTCAGTTCCTCCACACCAGCTCAAACAGGTGATAGGTTGCTTAAGGTTTGCAGAGGCCTTTTAACCCTCCCCCTACCCTCCCAGCTGAGCCATGGTAAAGTTGTCTGGTCTCCAGGGGATGTTGTTCTCTTCCATAGGCACGTTTCCTATGGAACCTTGACATGGTTCAAGTGAAAACAAGACCCTGGGTGAAAGATCCCCCAGTGAGGTGAGGGGAAGTTCAGGGGGAAGATGGCGAGTCCACCTCCAGGAGGCTCCTGCTGGGATGCTGGGATGCCAGGGAAGCTGAGCAAACAGCATGCCCAGTTTTATATCCTCCTGGGAAGGTTTTGGGGAGGTGGGGAGCCCTGGTCTCTATAGGTGGAGATGCCCAGAGTGGATGTCCTGCTAGCTCAGAGGAATGTGTCCTTTCCTGTCTACCATCCTCAACAGAGCTGGCTGTCACACCCTGCCACATGGTAACAGGTGGCTTTTAATGCCCCTGGTTGAGAGTGCTGTTACTGGCCAGAACGACAAGGGGTCCCTTGCTCATTCCTCATGGCTTCCCTGGCTTCCAAGTGACAGAAATCTGAAGTTTACTTCCGGGATCTTCATGGAGGAAGTCAGTGTACCGGCCTAGCAGGAGTCCATACTGTCCCTGGAGAAGGGGCCACCTTGAATGCCAGCCTGGTACAGAAGGGTTCTCTCTTGGCTATATCTATCTGCTGGTACAAAAATCCCTCTTGAGACCTAAGTAAGCCCAAGGCCATTGCTACAGGAAGGGTAGTTCGCCCTGAAAGTCCCAGATCTATCTTCAGTGTGTGTTCAAGGTCTACCCATGCTGTTACATGCTGGGGAGGCACGCCTGAGTGCACTGGGCTAACTTCCATCTCTACCTGCCCCTTGGAGGAAGCTCTGGCTCTTCCACACCCTGTATCTTCCTCATTCCTTCAAGGGTATTGAAAAAACAAACAAACAAACAAACAAAAACCTCTGTTGGTTTTAGCCCTGGTGGATGTGGGCCCGGTAGCAACAAGGCAGCTCTGTTCTGGGGAGGGCTGCCATTGGGGCTCAGCAAACCCCATGCCAGCCTTAGCCAGGCCCATCCTGAGCCAGTTTTATACATCTGAAATCAGCGCACCCTTTTTGTCTCAAGGAGATGTGCAAAGATCCCAGAGAAGGTGGGATGCTCTGAAGAAAAGTGGAAGAAGATTCTCTCCGGTGGGTACCTGGCCTCCATCCCTTGCTTGGTCCTAGAGGAATGCTGCTGGAAAGACCAAGTTACCTGTTTGCTTCCCAGGACCCTCTCCTCATATCCAGTGCCTGGATAGGTGAAGCCTATTTGTGTACACGTCTGTCACTCCATGCCACCCCTACCCCCAGAGACATAGCATGGACACCCAAACCCAGAGTCCTGGATTCAATTCTCCCACCAGCCCTGGGAGTGAGCACCATGTGAGGCCAGGCTAACTGCACTGTCAGGGCAGTGTGTACCAAGAGCAAGAATGCCTGCAAAGTCAAAGGCTGGGGTGCTCTGTTTCTACTGTGTACACTTGCCACGCCCCCAAATCACAGGGAACCAACTCCCTTTCTAGCTCTAGGAATTTCGGGCTCAGCGTGGATCCCACGGAACACAAATGATTCCCAGCTAAGAGGAACTCAGCTTACTGCTGTGAGAAGAAGTTAGCAACTTTTTATTTGGTTGCAGTAGATTATGGCAAAGCCTGTGGTACAGGGGCCCCAAATGGGCTAGTACTGAGCTCACATAGGGGCCTTGCTAAAAGCTACTATGCAGCAGGCAGTGATGGTGGCCTGATGGAGGACCTCCCTCCTGATGGATAAGGCTTGTGACTATCGTAGGTGTGATATGCGTGCATGCGTGCAATGCAGGCAGTGACCCAGCGGTCTGCCGACACCCTGCCAGCCTAGAGAACAGAGGGGTGCCTTACTCCAGCGCTTCTGTCTCCTCACTGTTAAACAGTTGGTCCCCCAAACCTTCTACTTCAACAGCTTGGAAAAGCATAATCCCAATCATGACTGTGTACCTCTGGCTTACCTGGAACCCTCTGTCAGCTCCACAGAGGGCAATTTGAGTCCATTCATCCCAGAAGGCCACATCCTCAAATGCCAGACAGATACCCTCATCCACCCAGTCCTGGTCCAAGGCCCCTAACAGCCACATGAGTCAATCCAACCTAATGCAACCCTGCACTAGTCTCCGCCTCCCAACGAGAACCAGTCACCCTTCCCCAAATATTTGTACCACCATCACCAGCCTCTACCCTACATCTCACCCTGCTCCTGCCCTGCGCATCTGCTCTGATTCTATCCTCCCTACTGAACCCACGAGCTGTTTATTGACTTAAAGACACCACCACATGGAATATGTTCAATTCAGCAGCTGGGCCTGCAACCGATGGCATTTACTTTGGAGGTAATTACCACTACAGACATCTTCCTTCATTTTTAAAAAATATAAACATCTTACAAGCATCTTACAGACCAGGGAGTAAGCAAGAATCTCACTCACACACTTAGAAAATCTGAGGGAAGCTTGAAGGTGGCACAGTGTGGACTCTTCAGCCATCTGGTGAGCCACCACGACTGCCAGAGCTCTTGTGCTGACTGTGGAGGGCATCACTGTGTGCACAAAGGCCTTCTGCCCAGCAGAAGGGAAGAAACTGTTATGTAGAAGCATCTAGAACATTCTGGACCCAGGAACCAGCCAGGTCAGCACAGGGCTGCCAAGCATACATGATCTCATGGTGGGCAGAGGGAGGGGCAAACACAGTGACCAGGATCGGGTCCGCAGCTTCCATCTCTATCGGGGCAGCAGACAAACCCGTGGTACCCACAGGGGAGCACAGGGCAGAGCATGAGGGCACACAAGCCACCGGCAGCCATGGCTGCACACTGTCTAGAGCACCACGGGCTCTGCCAGGAGAGGAGAGGCTCGCTGAGGGAAGCTTGCTGAGGAAGGGACTCAGCGGGTTGCTGGGCCTGCCATTTTGCGCCAACCTGTTTCAGGGTCAGGCCAGTGTTTTTCTGAAGGAGGTAAGGAAGGACGCCTGTCTTTTCTATCCCTTAAAAACAGCACAGAGCCAGCCCTAGCTTCACTGTCCCTGAGTCCCCCACCTGAAGGCTGTGGGGACAAGCACTCCACTCCATCACTCTCTGCCCCCACCCGGCCTGTTCATCTGTGGAGCGCGCAGGGCCAGCCCCCTAATGCGGGCACATAGGTTGGGGACTCAGCACCCGCGGCTGACTGGTCACACATCCTTGTCTTCCCTCGATGCCTCAGAGAGCCTTGGTACTGACAGGGTGCACTGTATGGGGTGCTGGCTTCTGGGGGTGGTGAGCAAAGGCATAGGCCTGCCCCAGGATAGCCAGGTCCACCAGCACCTGCAGGAGGCCACAGACAGAGAACTGCAGAGGCGCGCCATTGAGCAAGAAGTACGCCGTCTTGAAGGTGTCGCCGCTTGTCCACATGAGCACCATCTTGAGACTGTAAGGACACAAAGGGACCGTCAGTGTTGAACCAAGGACAGGGACATACATGGGTATGGGGGGACTTATACACAGGTCCGCAGTGTTACCCAAAGGGCTAGGGAGCACGGTAAGAAATGGGGACCACAGAAGGAGGTGGGATTTCCTGACTCAAGCCTGCCCAACCTACCACCTGGTGCCAGAGAGAGAGAGAGAGAGAGAGAGAGAGAGGGAGGGAGGGAGGGGGGAGGGAGGGAGAATGGCCTACCTCACACCAGAAACTGGGAGTTCTGCCACCCATGGGTCACACTATGGCTGTGCCAGGCCCTGAGGAAGGCTTAATCACAGACAGTCACAAGGGCTAGTATCCAGGGAGGCCAGGACCTCAGGGCTCTTCAGCCTGGCCCAGTGGGTCCCCACACTGGGTGCTACAGGCGTGAGGTGGGTAGGGAAGGCACAGGCAGGGCACAAAGCACAAAGGGGCTTCCCCAGGGCCTTCCCTCAAGAGAGGCTCCCATTAGAGACACAGAAATGGCCACTGCCTGTTGCCCCACACATCCCTCGTCTTCACACGGCCGCAGACCTGACGTAACCTCTTTCCTGCATAATAGATGCAAACAAGCCCAGCTTTCCTGGCAGCTGAACCTGTGGCACTAAGTTAAACTACATGCAGCCCAAGCGTGCAGGCTGCAGCTGATGCCCCCAGGCAGATAGTTGACTGTCGCTGACAACTGCAATTCCCCTAACACACCATGCAGGGGAAACCCCCAACATGCTAAAAACACAACCACTCTCTGCAGCATGCCAACCTTCCCCCCCCTGGAGACACCAGCGTGCTCCTTCCTGAGATGGCTGTCTCTTTATGCCAACCCCAGTACCGCAGCTCACATGCCCAAGAACCAAAGGGGCAGTACACCCAGGTGTGGTGGGGCAGATGGACTGGGGGTTCAAGATAAGCCTCAGCTACAAGGCTTTGTCTCAAACAAACATTACTGAAAAACCAATTATGAGAAGGCACCACACATACACAATCCAGATTAAAGGACCCCGATGGGTCGTATGGAGGGTGCTTTCACAGGTGGCTGGACAAGTCTGGGGCTGCAGGTGGCTGAAGCCAGTCTTTATGACACGACACATCTAGGGTCAGAAACCCCAGATTTCACCTCTCAGACAAGTGGCAATGTCTCTCATAATCCTACAACACCAAATGATCAGGGAGCGGTGTCCATAGCATCCTCTATGAGAGTCAAGCCCAGAATATAAGGAATAAGGCTTTTAGTTCTCATTTTAGAATCAGGTAATGAATGCCAGGGGCTGGAGAAAGGCTCAGCAGTTAAGAACATTGGCTGCTCCTCTAGGTTCAATTCACAGCACCCACAAGGCAGTTTACAACTGCCTGTGACTCCAATCCTAGGGGATACAACACCCTCACATAGACACACATGGTAGTAAAACATCAACCAGTGTTCATAAAATAACAAATTATTTTTAAAAATCAGGGAAAACCTAATCGTTGGGCTCAGAACACCCAGGTTAATAGACAGAGGGACAGCGGGAAGAAATCTGGGTCTTATTGGATCACCCGTACAAGCAACATCACCCTCACAGCTCAGCTCCAGTACCCCAGAAGAGAAGCAGAGCATGGGGAGGGTTGGGCCACATCTGATTCACCACCTCTCAAACAGCCCAGGATCCCCCTACAACAGACACACAGACAGGCCAAACTTCCAGAGGCCTCTGGGACAGACACACCTCTCCAGGCCCCCAGGAAATGCCTGGACAGTCATGTCTGTATACTTATTCCGAGAAGAAAGCAGGTGCTGGACTCTCAGGGTCCAGCCTTGAAGTCAGTGGCCCAAAGCTCTGGTCAGACAGCAGGCTGTGCTGTACAAGGGACAAGCCATGGCCTAGAAAGGTTTGCTGCAAACCAACATGAATTAGGAAAGCCCTGCAGTAAAGTTGACTAACCTGTCCCTCAGAATCACAGGTACATGGTGAGCACAAAACATGCAGAGGTGGCCTGCATGACCCAGTTAGACACCCAGTGTCACATACTTATTGCGTATGGCATCCCTTGGGCTCAACTCCAAAGTCTGGCAGAGACAGGTCCGCAGCACAGGATGTACAGCTGTAGGCCTTAGCCCCAGGCCACCTGTCCCTGCCCAGGCCACCTGCCCAGCACCTCCCTCTTAAGATCCCATTGGCCCCAAGTGCATAGTTGTATCTGTGACAGCAAGTGGAGACATGAGGTAATCGCTGGAGCATGGCAATGCCCAATGCCAAGGGTATTCTTAGCCTCTTGGATTCTTCCTATGGATGCTCTCTATCCTCCAGGAAAGATAGCTTGTTGGTGACACCAACACCATCCTGTTCCCGGGACAGGAATGTATCCATGCTGACCTTTTGACACACTCTGGATGGCTCAGAGAGATAGCAAGGAGACTGTGGTCTACACATCAGAAGCTACAAGGCCTCTGGATACAGGGAAAACTCATGGGTCAATTTCCTGGGACTGTTGCTGCTTCGTTTGCTCTGAGGCAATGAGCACTAGCTTTTCTCCGCACTAGGAATCCCCAGACCCTTTGCTTCAGCGACATCTGCGTGTGCAAAGAGTGAACATTGTCCCTGTAATCCCAGCACCCAGGAGGCAGGAGGGTCAAGTGTTGAATAGGCATGATGATGCACGCCTTTAATCCCAGTACTTAGAAGAGAGAGGCAAGAGGATCTCTGTGAGTTCAAGGCCGGCCTGGTCCACATAGCAAGTTCTAGGACTATATATAGAAATCCTGTCTCAAAGAGGGCAAGGGGAAGGAAGAAAAATAGAGCCCAAGGGCAGCCTGGGGAATTAGGGAGTAGAGATACATTGCATCCCACAGAGTCTGTCACTCAGCCTTGGACGGAGGAAACAGCTGGCCTAGGGTCTAGCCAAAAGATACCCAGAGTGCAGGGTATCTGCCCTCCTAGTTTGTGAGCCTTGCAGTAGGACAGACTGTCATCCCAGAGGCACAGATATTCTGCTTCAAGATCGCATTCGAGATCAGGAAGTAGCGGGTGGGAGCTCAAGACCACATGGCGGCCCGGGCCAGGCTGCAGTTCCCTCAAGGCTGCCTCTCTGCCCAGAGCTGGTTGCTCTCTCTTCAATGGGCCTCTTGGCCTGACCCTCCTGCCCTCCCCCACTGTTTTAATCTAGGCTCTCATTACCTCATTCTTGGCTCCGGCATTTTTCTTCCAAACCAGGCTGCCAGATCACTGCTCTTAAAATACCTCCTCACCTCATCTTTGCCCTGGGCAGCCGACAGGGGTGCCTCTCATTGGCACCCAGGACAGTAGAACCAACTGTTGCACCTGCTCAGTTCGCCTTCCCGCATCAGCCCACTGACATGCTCACCATGCTGACCTCAGCCCAGGACCCAGTCGCCGCCACAACCCCCAGGACTGACCCCTGACTGACCCCAGTCATGTCCCCTTGGAGGTGATTTGTAACCCTGGGTTAGGCAGTTCTCTTAGACAGAACTCCAAGAGCAATAAAAGAAAAGGCAGATATACTCCATGTCACTAAAGCTGACAGGGTATTAAGTCTCCTAGACTCCTCTTGCAATCCTAACATAGTTGGGAATTATCTTCAATTCATAATCCTCTTGCCTCCACCTCCTAAATTCTGGGTTTCCAGGTACGTACCCCATGCCTTGTTTGTGGGATACTGAAAATCAAACTTCCAGAGCATGCTAGGCAAGCACTCTACCAACCAAGCCATTCCCATCCCCTAGAGTTGAAACTTAGGCATTTGCAATAGACATTGAAAAAGTAGGCAGACAAGCCAGATATAAGGGAAGTATTCATAAATCATATATTTGACATAATTCAAATACCCAAAATAGAATGTTTTAGTTCTTACAATACAGTAATAAAACACTACAAATACATATTTTAAAATGGGTAGGGATCCCAAAGAGACACCTTCAAGGACATAGCCAAGGCCACATGAGATTCCCATCGTCACTTAATTGTCAGTGACATACAAATGAAACCACCATGAGCCAGGTACTTCACACCCACAAGGATGTTAGGAATAAAGAACAAACAAGAAGAACTATGGGGGCTCAGTCCACCACCACCACACACACACACACACACACACACACACACACACACACACACACACACACACAGCTGGTGGAATGTGAAAATGTGCCTCTCTGGAAAAGAGGCTGATAGTTCCACAGAGGTCACAACCAAGCCAATCATGTGGCCATTCTATGCCTACATGCTTTCTCAATAAAGGAAAACACAGTATGTCCACAGAAAAACTTTACATGAAGCCAAGAGAGCATGAGTCACAGCGTCCATCAACTGAAAACAGACATTTGGTATACCCACGTAATGAAGTCATGGACAGGAATGAAGCTCAGGCCAGACACAGATGGCCACACACTATATGATTCCACAGGTGTGTAACGACCAGAACAGGCCAATCAGGAAAGACAGAACTCAGGTAAGAGGTGTGGAGGAGTCGGGGTCAGGTGGGCATGACTGCTAATGAGTTCAAGTTGTTCAGCCATTATTGTGAGGAAACTGCTCCAAAACTAGAACAGGGTGCCGGCTACAGTCTATGCCTGACCTAACATGCACCACACAGTTGACTTGCGGTACATGAATGGTTTGTACCAGTGGGTGGTTCCTGCCCTTTCTGCGGTGGGCACTGTGAGCAGTACTTCTCACAGAGCTGTCAGAATGAACAAACAGCACAGGCTGATTATTGAAGTCTGGCAGTGGCAAAGACATGTCCCAGAAAAAGCATGCTGGGTTTCCTAAAAGGCTATAAATGCAAGGGGCCTGCTCAGAGGACCAAGGCTAGATCTGTAGCATCATGGGTTAAGCAAAGCCCAGCTTCTGGGAGCTTCTCACTATGGCAAGAGCCCAGAGTCCCAACTGGATCCTGCAGAGTGGCCTGGTGACACAGTTCAGGGTCCAGTCCCTCGGCCTCCTTGACTTTTAACTGCCCATGGTCTAAGCCTGCCTGCCTCCTTCTCATCCTGTTCTCGCATGGCCTCCAGCCTCCCTCATGTGGGCCCTGCCTCTGAGCATCTTCCCTGCTACAGTCGTCAGGCTCTGCAATGCTCTCTCTCCCCATCGTGCGCTTCCCCAGCTACTCTTTCCTGTTCCATGCTGTTAAAGGCTGCCTAATGCTTGGCTCCCTCTTATCTTTTACACCCACTCCTGTTCTCCAGTAATTACTTGTTAGGGAACAGTCTTCAAATCTAGTAAAACCTGGAGGAAGAAGATTGCAAATACCCCCCCGGATCTGCCCTGCAGAGTTCACTGCATTAATTAGTAAAGTCATTCCAAACATATCATCATTCATCCCTGGCTCCAGAACCACAGCCAGTTAATGTTTTTCAAGAGGGAAATTATTCAAAAATATCTCGAGCAGTAGCTACAAGGTAGGCAATCTGCGTAAGTGCCTGTGGGGTTGTGTATACACGCAGGCATGCCTATGTGTATGCGTGCTCATCTGTATGCATTTGTAAAGACTACAGAAAATCTGCTCTGAAGGCCACCAGAGTTAAAAACGAATCCTGGGAGTTCCCTGACTCCCAGGCCCAGGAATCCATATGTAAAAGTACAATTGGGTTGAGGTCCCAAGATAGATCTGGGTTAGTCCAGCACTCCGTCTGGAAAAGGTGCGGACACGGTGGGGCTCAAGATATCCCCAACTAGGATTCCTGGTGGGCAACCCTCATAATCGTGTCCACCCCTGCAGTAACGGAAGCTTGGCCAGCAAGTACCTCTGTGCACATAAAGGCGCTTAGTACCCGGCCCCAAGAAGACGTGCTAGCAGGGAGCCCTATATCTCCTTGGCCCAATGACACCTTCTCTAAAACATCTCTGTCCTCAGGTGAAAACGGGTCACCAACACTCAAGTTTTGGAACAGCTGCTGCAAAAAGTTAATGGCCTCCAGACGTCACCCTGTGGCTTTTCCTCCATGCTCCATCCGTATCGACTGACTCAAAACTGGAGCTCAACTGTGTACCCACCAGCCCCAAACCAGAGCTCCATAGCTACAGCCCCAGCGGGTATAAAAAAAGCATCCAGCCCTAATTCAGAGCTCCAGCCACCCTCACTTGGGATCCACTGGATCTGCTGTGGTCACAACTGTCAGCCTACCTCTGTCCTGCCCACAGTGTATCATGTCAGAGCCTAAACGGCGCTAACTTCCCTCACCCTAACCCTGAACCCACACCTCACATATGGACCTTCACTCTACACACGGGCACAAGACTCAGACCTCCAACAAAAAAACTTCAGAGAGCCACTGAAACAGTGGCCGGCATGATCCTAAACCTCTGCACTATCCAGCCAGTCCCTTCTTTCCTGGATTTGGTTTTCTCAACAAACAGGATGCTGTGATTCCAATGACATTAAGGCGCCACCACGGCACACAAGGACACAGAGGACCCCCCCCCCAGAGAAAGGGGGCCTCTAGTGTCCTCCACAAACGGTGGGACGGCCTCAGTGTGAAGTGGGTGGGGTCTCGAGGAGAAGTAGGACGGAGTCTCAGAAGTGAGCGGGCGTCTCTGAGAAGTTACCGGGGTCTCGGTGTGAAGGGGAATGTGTCGAATTAAACCCACGGCTGTGTTGTTCTCCTCCTCACCAACTCATCTGTACTCAGGAAATGCTATTTCCTTGGAGACTTTCCAAGGGTCTATGGTCCTGTGCTAGACAGATGTCTCCAGACACTTCTTAGCATGACCCTCACAATGGCTTTACCCACCCCCTCCCCCCCCCCCGACACTTTAGCACTGGAAGACTGTGGCGAGTCCCACTGTGAGAGAGCCATAGTTGGAGCGCCTTTGTTAAGGTCACCTGCCCTGCCGCATCCAGCTGGGGAGGTAACATGTTCCTCAATCCCTGGCCCTGGGATTGATCTCCAGCTTCTGACAGGCCACGGTCTCCACAGAGGGTTTCTGTTTCCCTCCCCTGCCCCCTCTAAACATATCTTCTCAGACAAGGGTCAAAGACTCAGTGTGCTTAAGCGGCCCGATTTCATCATGTTGTCAGTGTTCAATGGCCCCAGTGAGTGCTGGGGAACCTCCTCGGGAACACCCCTACCTCATGCCCTCCGTGGAGCGGTGACGGTAGTTTCGATACAGCTGTGGCACGCCCAGCATGGCCTCGGTCAGCACAGCCAGGAAACCCAGTGTCTCCACAAACAGGGTGGAGTCGATGGACAGGTAGGTGACATAGCCGGCCACACCCGTGAAGGCCAGGACACACTGCACGTAGTCTGCGAAGCTGCTCCAGTGCCAGAAATGGTGAGCATCGAAGTCTGGAGGGGGGAGAGAAAGAGGAGCCTCAGTTGGGAGAGCAAATTGGAGCCAATGGGGAGAGAAATACCAAGGCATGGGCGGGCCAGGTCAGTGAGGAGAAATGAATGGGTGAGGAGCGATCCAAGGTTAGTGTGGAGGAGAAATACAAACAGGTCAAGGCCGGCCAGTGGCGACCGGGACAAGTCTACTCAGAGGAAACCTGAGTGGGTCAAGCTCAGTCGGTGTAGATGTGGATAGCTCAAATTCAGTGTGAGAAGAGATGTGATCAAGCCAGTCAGGGTGGAGAGACACAAGCATGCTGAGGTCAATGTAGGGAGGTGAGAGAGAGCATTCCAATAAAAGCAATTCTAGAGACTCTTGGTACCAATACTGAGCCGACAGAAAGGATGCCGAGCCCTTCAACTTCAACCCGATAGTTCTAGGAAGGAGCCCAGAACATTGTACCACAGCCTCTGGAATCTGACTCCTCAGTTAGAACCACATTCTGCCCTCTGTAACTCTGGTTAACCGTGTATCTCCATCCACTAGGTTAACGCACCCACCTCCCGGGGCTGGTCTAAGGGTTGATGCGTCATTCTATGAGTCTTACGGTGGTTTTGGCCCACAGGAGGGATTCAGTCAGCACACAGTGCTATCTCTACATTCTTGGTTGCCACAACAATAGCCCATTTTGTTTGATGGTAGACTGTGGCACATTCACAAGCAATCACACAAATGGACTAAATGACACTTCAGCAGGTGAATACTTGGGGCCCTGGAGACCATGGCAGCTGCAGGGAAGCTTCCGATGAGAAGGGAAAACCTGACTTAAGAGAGGATGTGGCATGGCTATGTCTAACCTGGTCTCAGATCAGCAAGTCCAAGACAGAAACATTCAGCAGGTGTAGGTGGGCGGGGCCAGAGATGCCAGGGCATCAGTTCTGCTGAGTGTGGCTGTTTTTATGGGGTGGTGGGGTGTTTTTCTCTTCTATTTGTGCTACTGTTTTGCTTTTGGTGCTGGGGAAGCACTGTAGGCAAGTGATCTACCACTGAGCTAAACCCCAGCGCAATGAATACAATGTCATAAGGAAAAAAGCTAGCAGATTACTGACCTGTTATCCCTGTTTGTAAATGAAAACTGGACTGACCTTAGCATGCAAACCACAGCAAAGCTGCAGCCCTCGGGTTTTCAGGGGCCCAGCCTGCCCTGCATCAGCATTTCTGCCTTCTGCATGGGAACTGTGCCTGTGAGTCAGCAGGCCAGCATCTCCCTGTGCCACAGAGCAATCAGCCCATGTCAGGGTGTGTGTGGGTTGGGGGGGGGGGCTGATTAACTTCCTCCTAGTTACCCAGACTCAACACACAAAAACAGGGCAGTTTTTAATACTGCCCAGAAATGTCTTTTTTGGTTCCAGGACAAGAAGGAGTAACCTGGAGAAACCCCAGAGAGCACACATAGACCAGGGTACCTGCACCAAATGGCATTTTATGTGTGTCTCACACTGTCTTGCTTGGAGATAATGCTGTCCCATACCCACCCCACTTACCAGACTCAGAGACACAAAAGAGCCACCCTGTCCAAGGTTACAAGTCCCACTGAAGCCTGGACCCAGGAGAAACTCTACAATAAAGAGCTGTCTCTGGGTTTGGGGATCTCTGGGGTCCCCCTCCCGAGCCTCAGCCACAGACATGGGGCCCTAACAGCCTAGATGTGTAACGGATACATCAATAAAAATTCGACTTGGGGCCTGCTAAGGGCTAAAGGGAACTGGGGATGTCACCATATGCCATCTACAGTAAGGTCTCAAGGGTTGGTGGCCCGCGGACTATGCAAGGCTTTAGCTTCTCTGCACTCTAGAGTCTTCTTACTGCCAGGCTAGTCTGGACTCGGCCACACCTCTAATGTATCCTGAGGATGGCCTATGGGGCAGCAGGCACTGGCCTCTCGAAGTCCAGTCCTGAAAGGAACCTGCTCCAGGGTCGCAGAAGCAAGCAGAGCTGTCCTGAACTACACTGCCCAGGATGCACTGCCACCCTGTGCGTTCGAGCATCTTCAGGGACAGTGAAACCAGCGGAGAGGTAAAGAGATTCCCCAACGGAGCACTGGAGAGAAAGCACCAGCCCAATGCAGCAGCATCCCACGTGGCATGCAGTGGCCAGGGGCCTGGAGGCCAGGGGTCGTCCTCCACAGCAGGTAGCAAGGGCCAGAAGAGGGACAAGGGACAAGGGATGGCTCCCAGAACGGCTGGTTACTGAGAGGGCTGCGAGAAGACTTGGAGATGGCAGGGGAGACACAGCGCCCCAATACAGACAGACAGTGAAGAGGGCACTTAGGCTTTAATGGCCAAAAACAGACATTGCTGAAAGCTGATGCCATTCCTAATGCCATTGTGAACCTGTGACGAGCAACGGGATGGACAACCCAATAAAGCATCAACGGGCAAAAGGAACAGACAGAATGTGGCCAAGAAAAGCCAGCATCCTTGTGCCATAGGGCAAGTCCAGTCCTCCCGGGCCCGGTGAGCAGAGCCTGAGTTCACAGTTGCCCTACACTGCTATGAGGGGAAAGACTCAGCGTCCACCACAGCGCTGAGTGCAAAAAAGAAACCAAGTCCAAGCCAGGGCGCTTTTGTTGTTGTTGCTGTTGAGGTTATTGTTTACCCTCAACAGCAATGGTGGATGCCACTTTGAGACTGCCACCAACAACAGCACAATTAGACAAGGCAGTTGTGACGCCTGTGGTTTGCAACCCGTGGTCCTACGGTAGTCCACCAGCACCCTCGTGTGGCTCGTCTGTGCCAATTCAGGCAACGCCTTCCCTGGCAGACAGTCTGGGTTCTCTCAGCCCCTGCCTAAAGTCCAAGCCAATGACAATCCCAGACCCAGGGAGGAACAGGGTACAGGCAGGGCGTTCTACTTTGGAGTTCTCGGAAATGATAGTCACGCTCATAGCCAGCAGAGGACAGGGCTCTTCCAGGGCCAGCAGTGACAGTAACCTCCCAAAAGCTTGGGGGGAGGGGGCGCTGATTCTTGTCAGTAACATGAAGTAGCTGATAAGGTGGTGAGCTGGGTAAGGACAGGCCACCCTGATGGCGGCATGACTCCATATGTATCACCTCACAGCTCAATTTGGCAAGTGGGGCTGTGGCACGCTTCTCTCCAGTCCCCAGCCCTACCATGGCAGGCCCACAGCCCCCAGGCTCTGGATGGTTTCTGTGGCTGTCATGCTGTCCCGTATCATCTGTGGCAGAGACACAGATGGAGAGAAGGAGCCCAGCTGGCCGTCCAGAGACCACACCTTAGTCTGTGAATCTGGGAGAGCCCAGAGAAGTCAGCTGCAACTAACACGGGCCACTCTTTCCCTGAGCCTCACTGAACAAGGCCACCTAATGAGGCCCAAAACTGGGCAGCCCCATGCCTGCAGCCATCACAGACCCCTGGGCCAATACTCCAGAACAGCCCCCACCATCCAGGACAGCGGCATCAAGGGAGACATCTTTAAACCTATCAGGAGAAACAAGAAATGCAGCCCTCTGGCCAAGCTGGGAAATTAAATGACCTACCCGGGCTCTGAACAGGAGACCAAGCAGAAACAGGCTCAGCAGCCACCTCCCAAGCCTTCTCCCACGAATCACACAAACATGCTTGTTTTCAAACTCAAAGGCCCTTCCTGTGCCAGGGTCCCACCGGCATGCTATACCACGCATCCCAACCAGGGATGGAGGCACACACCTGACTCCGGAGGCTTAGGAGAAAGAACAGGTCTGCCCAACAATGTCTGTGTTGACTTACACTGAAAGAATGTTTTGTAAAATAAACATAAAGGGTAACCACCCATTTCTTTTCACTTGTCTGGGAGATGGAGCCTTGGACCAGGTGGTCTCAGATTCCTGAGTCTCCGGAGTCTGGGGTTCCAGGTGTGCCCTGCTGTGCCTGGCTTTTTCATCACGTTGGATGGACTACTGAAAACTCTGCACTTCTCCGTGGCTCACGCACTCGCTACATTGTTTCCTCAGCAGAATAGAAGGCCCTTCCTACTGCCCAGCAGCATCTTCTGCCTGGATCACCTGAGATTGCCAGACATGTATCCTCCTCAGACCCCCCAGCCCGAAGGGTACCAGACCAGCCCTCCAGCCCCCAGCCTGGCCAGACACTCGGTCAGAAGACCACCTGAGCCAGGGCTTCCCAGGTAAGGACCAGAGAGAGGAAGACCAAACAGGCAGAAACCAGAGCCCAGCACAGGGTTACCAAAGTCAAGAGCAAATCAGGCTCTGCTCCTGGGGGACCCCGAGGCCTGTTGACATTGACACTCTGGGCAGTTGTGTGGAGACAGCCTTGTGTTTGGAAAATATACTTAACCTCAAATGGCTCAAGGAAAATAATAGTAATTGTAGTCAAAACTAAACTTGGTGACGTCCAAACAAATTAAAATGAAAACAAATGGCTCCAAGCCTAGCCAGCCTGGTTCAGATCCATGCACTGTCTTCCTTCCTTCAACTAGTCCCTGGTCCCGGGGCCAAACCTGCACAAGATTCCAGGGCATGGCGCCGCACCTGATGATGAGAGCCACACACCCCAAACCAGTGCCAACTTCCCCTCTGCCTGAATCCAGCTCAGATACACCAATGGGTTTTTAAGGTAACAAGACCTCCTGCGATGGCTGAAATGGCCCTCCTGGCCTTCCACACCAGACTGCTGGTCAGGACTCACCCCAGCACCGCCCTGGTCCACAGCAGACAAGGGTCAGGCAAGGATGGCTGAGAGGCAGAATTGGAGTTCCGGGACTGGAAGCAGGGAATGTTCAGTTCCCTGCTCCTGGCTTCCACACAGGGTCCCCTGGGAAACTGATTGGGAGCACCCACTGCTTTGCCAGAACAAAACAAGCAGCTACCGAGGCCAGCATCCCGATCCAGTTTGAAATTGCCCAAATAAGGCTATGTCATGGTGCCACTGGTACCACATCCCTGCAGTAGCAGCTCCGGGAGCCAGGGAAGCTGGAGTCAATGGTGCCCAGTATGTA